AAAAAAATATATAATAGTACATAAATGCTACTAAAAAAGCAAAAAAAAATGTAATATAATATTTAAAAATAAGTGTAATACTAACATAATTAAAATAATATTTTTCAGAAAAAGCTAATTTTTTTTTTAAATATATTTTTCAGAAAAATAAATGTAATACTAAAAAAAAAAATGTATACTAACTTTATACATATTATAATTAAAAATCTATTTTTTTACAACTTTTTTTCTAAAAGAAAAATTCAGCTCTTCCCTTTATACGACAAACAAAAAACTTTCAACCAGCATAACAAAAAATGTTTCTGAAGACAATCACCTATTGCACCTTTAAGAGTCAACCATGCCTACCTAAAACGGCTTGTTCTAACACGCCCCCACATGTCTACGTCACTATGTGGGAAGATTGCATAACGCCGCCCAAATGTTCACGCAAAGAAAGAAGGCGTAACTTTTATTCTCGCTGTAGTATTGTTGCTGCCGCCGCCATGTCGTGAAGCGAAACTACTTTGTTTGGTCTTCCAAAAGACGACACGACTAGAAATCAGTGGTTAAGTTGTATTTACAACACTGTTCCAGAACAGTTCAACCCAAATATTCAGATGTGTGCAGCACATTTTATGGAGGACTGTTTCTTGATCCTGGGAGAGTAGACTACAATGCCGGCGCTTCTGACTCACAGACTGTAAGTACGTTTTTCATATTTAAAGAATTTGCCACTGATGACTCAAACGCGAGTTTTGAGCAGTGTAGAGTAGCACTTGTTTGTCATTTCTCCGATCACAAATGCAAACATGGTTTTATGTTTACGCGGCGCGATGCAACGCAACACGTAAAAAGACAGTATAAGTCATTATAATCCGTAATTATGTCCCCACTGGATGCAACAAATGCCTCGTTTATAATGGGTTTTCATGACGGGACATCATCACAATATGGTGAGGGGCGTAACATTTCCGTCACATGCTTGAGGTATTCGGCCAATCACAACGCACTGGATAGCTGGCCAATCAGAGCACACCTCGCTTTTCAGAACGATGAGCTTTGTAAAAATCGACGCGTTTCAGAAAGGCGGGGCATAGAGGAGAAACAATAATGTGGAAACAATATGCGGAAAATAATGTTTTTTTTACTTTAAACCGCATAAACACATTTCATTACACCAAATACACAAAATAATGTTCTTTTTAGCAGCATCATATGACCCCTTTAAAGTGAAAGTAAAACGACAAGTAAAAAGTGACTGAACAAACACTAACCTAAGTGTTTAAAACAGCTCCAGTATGATGATTGAGCGCTGCGAACATTTTGAATAGATTCTAGTGCACTGCAAAAAAAATTTAAATAAACCACATATTACTCCAGCTTTCTAGTGACAAAAACATTTTGTCAGCACATTAAAACGAAATCACAACCAATCTGAACATATTTACTGTTTGATGTCTGTAGGGCAGGATTTTAGACCAATAAGATCTGACTGTGGGCGGAGCTAACAGTGCAACTTAACTCAAGCAAACAGCTCAACCAATGAAAAGCACTTGCCCCATGATTGACAGCTCAGTTCACCTCTCACAAGGGGCTGTGAGCCCTGACAGCTGAGGGGCCGGATCTCCCAGAAGGGTCTGGACGGTTTGGCAGACCAATTGGGCCAGAGAAGTCAGGTTATAGCCTCCCTAAAACAATGAAGGAAATCAGTAGAAACAATATGCACAATCTAAACATGATATCACAGATAATGGGGCTTTAAAAATGAAAAACGCTAGAATCAGCTTTAAAAAAGATTTTAAGTGATAATGATAACTGACCTCCAGGACGACACACATTTTGCCTGCAGCCAAAGGCATTAGCAGTTGGGTGAGGTGGACAAAGATCTCAAGAAGAGCACACATTTCACCCTGAACCAGAACAGACAGCAGTGTTAACTGAGATCAACCCATACGGCCAATCAAACAAGGCAGAAACGTTTGGAAACACTGTGACAGATGCAGCTTTCAAGGATTAAAGGAGTAGTTCACCCAAAAATTTTAATTTATTGAAAAAACTACTTATTCTCAGGCCATCCAAGATGTAGATGAATTTCGTCACCAAAGCAGATTTGGAGAAATGTAGCATTGCATCACTTGCTCAGCAATGGATCCTGTGCAGTGAATGGGTGCCGTCAGAATGAGAGTCCAAACAGCTGATAAAAACACCACAATAATCCACAAGTAATCCACACCACTCCAGTCCATTTGTGTCAATACAGGCGGACCGGCACCTGTTTGCACTGCTCTGCCACGCCGTGAGTCTTTAGTGCTTCATAAGACACGGTCAACCGCTCAGGCACCTCGATCTCACAGACGGGACTGGACAGAGCAATAAAAAATAGATTCATGTGAAAATAAAAAACAGACAACAGCGATCCTTTGAGAAGAGTTTTGGGAGATTTTGACAGAATCTGCCAAGCAAGCAAAAAATAAAAAAATCAGCTGATTTAATCAGTCTATCACTATCAACTATGGAATTAATAAATTAAGCAAATGTAGTAAATCAGTGATAGTGATATTAGTAACTAATACAATTTTATAATTAGGGTTGCAAAAAGGTGGAACATTTCCAGTAAAATTTGGAAACTTTCCTGGATTTTTTGGAATATTCCAGGGATTTTTGGAAAGTTTCCGGAAATTTACCGGAAATGTTCCACCCCTTTGCAACCCTATTTATAATTGACTTAAAGGTGGGGTAAGCGATTTTTCAAAAACGCTTTAGAAAACTGATTCGGGCCGAATAGCAAAACAAACTTGTAGCCAATCAGCAGTAAGGGGTGTGTCTAGTCATGATGTGGAGGAGAGAGCGTTCAGTGCTCACATTAGCCGAGCCGAGCGACAGAAAGATAGAGATGGCGGATAAAAAACAAAAGAGGAAAACGTCTGCGGGAACAAACGAAGGCTTAAGGCAAGAAGTAGGACCCGTGTAAATATCGGATCAGCTTTCCAGCGCTGGAGAGAACTCAAGGAGCGGAATGCTTTGTTTCTTCTCGATAGGTGCGTAACACCGTGTCTGCGCCGCAACAGCTAAAGTCTGTCTAGTACACTGGACGCGACAAAGCAACCATTGAAAATCATTTGAAATTTGTGTCAACACGTCATAAATAGAACGCAGCAGCAGTTTTCTGTCGGGGATTTGTCATGTCGTGCTGCGCCGCATCCAGTGTAGACCATAGATATGTATATATATCTATGGTGTAGACAGCATCACTGATTATAATGAGTTCTATAGTATTTTGTCACGCCCCGCCACTCGCGTCCGGTGTAGACACGGTGTAACACTGGTTCTGCTTTGTTTCACAGAACTATTCGTTGCCTGGGTTGCGTACGTATGTGTGGGGTGGAGCTATCAAAATAGGAGCGAGACCCTTTTGGGGTAGGGGCGTGTTTGTTTTAGTGATTTCAAATGTCAACATTGGCTACCAGAAATCACTTACCCCACCTTTAACTCTGCAATTATTACTCTTTGGTTACTAAAAACACATAATAACAATACTTTGTGTTAATTTAGTATCATTGAGATAATATTGTAGTTTTTTTATATATATTACGATCTTTTTTTTTTTTGTATTTTCCAGTAATTTAGTGTTTTTTGTCATTTTATTAGTTATTGTTTAATTCGTTTTTATTAATTTCAGGTTTATTTTTAGTTATTTTAGTTAAAATAGATGAAAATGAGCAATGTTGCTTTGTCAGCTAGCTGAAATAATATAAGCTTGTTTTTCAGTTAGCATTTATTTTATTTCAAGTAACGTTTTTTTATGGTTTCAGTTTAAGTTTTAGTTAACTATAATAACCCTGTTTCTCATTAATAAAATGTTTTTAGTATTGAAAATGCTCATTCCTGACATCAGATTGCGACTAGTACAAAATGCAAACCAAATATTTGTCATCTGGATTTAATTGTGTATGTCAGTTTCACATATCTTAACACATTTCAGAAATCGATTTTTAAAACGAGCTGAAAATATCTTGAAATGGCATTTAATTATAATAAATAACAAAATATGAAAATAACAGAAGGTTGAAACAAATTCACAGATATGAAAAACATAAAAACTGCTCTGGTACTATCATAATATCATAGTTTTAACATCCATCAATGTACACATTTTTTTTTCAGAAATCCACTAATATATTAAACACAATGTCATTTCCACATCTCAAATTATGTGAATTTGAACAGTAATGATAATAAATGAAGACAAGGTAAAAATAGTTTTATTGCACATTATTTAATTCACACATAAGTCACATGGTACCACTTACTTTTATGCTCACGGTTAGGATGATGTGGTTAGGATGGACCTAAATGACAAAGCACAATTTTCTGATGACAGAATCACAATAAATAAAAACCTTTATATTTGTTAAAAAAAGAGTGACTAAAAGGTCCAGAAAAAAGGAAATAGGAATATTGGGTTCTCAGAGCAAAAGAGCAGTGGCATCTGAGGATTTATCAATGAAAAAAATTAATAAATAAAATATTTCATCAGTTGACCACAATTAGAAATGAATATTAAAAGGTAAGATCAGATGATTTATCAAGCTATTATTATTTTAACATTTAGATATGTACAGCAAAAGGCCTTGTGACAGAAAAGATACTGAACGGGGTTCAGAGTTTTCCTCTTGAACCATTTTGGCTTAAAATACGTAGCTACTAAACACAAACAAACAATGTACATGATAATCAAAACAAAGTTAACAAGTTTGCTGTCTTTCCTTTCCATCTACAAATAATTTTCCCAATTATATCAATTATGTTTATTTTAAAATGTTCTTAACATGCGGATTAATGCTAAATGTAGATGGGAAAAACCTGGTTTGAACGATCAGATATATTTGCAGTTGTTTTCTGCAGCGTTTTAGCAAAAGTATCAATGTATTTTGCTGCTCGCTGTGTTCCTGCAACTGTTGTAAAAATAACCGCGTCATCTGCAGATCATACTGGCGCTTTAGTGTCTTTCTAGAGAATCAAAGCACACGGGAACGACCCTGAGCACTCATAGTGTGAACCTCTCTATGAACTTTATCTAGAAATGGTGCCTTCGTTGTCTCGCGGTCTGGTTGGAACCAAGCAATCGGCCATTTGAATATGCTTGATATATATGCATTCATATATGTATGTGTGTAGTTATATGGCAGAGGATATAGAAACACTGACGTCTTCAGATTCCCAGAGTCTCTTTGGTCACCTGACATCCGAGCAGGACATTCCCCACACACACACTGAGACAGATCACCCACTGAAACACACACACACACTCAAATCATCAGTGTATGTCAAAGAACTGAAGATATTTGCTCAAACGTCTCTTGATGAACGCTGACTGAATGAATGTGGTCTGGAATGGAGATCTCACCTTTCTGAGAGCCGATCCATGACGCTGCCTTCATGGCCACAAACTGCCACTCCACCTGCTGCTCTATTTTACAGCCGTATAACCAGATCAGAGCCAGGAGAGTGGCCCACACTGACCCATCCACCTGTGTACAAACCATCATCCACTGCATTAGTTACTGGACACCGGACACGATCATCACTGTCTTATTATTTCATCACATCTCTCACCTGTGCTGGTTTCTGACTGGTCAGCTCATCCTCCGTCTTCGCAAACACATCAGCCAGTGTGGCGTCCAGATCCCAGCAGCCTGACGCCTTTTGGAGAGAAACCAGCTGCAGTAACGGGTCCTTCTGAGGCTCAGAAGCAGCTGAACACACACACACACAAACAAGTTTTACACTGCACAGTGTTCAGTAAGTAAGCTAGTACTTTCCTAACATAACCATTGTGTACATCGTGTGTGTGTGTGTGTGTGTCTGTACCATCATTCTTGCTTTCAGAGTCCGTCTGATCAGATGGGGAGGTCGCAGTCGCAGAACCACGGCGGAAGAAATTCTGGATCTCTGCAAATGACAACAATGATCATTAACCGTGCTGCTTTTGTGTTTTACATTTAGTGAGCTTTAGTGACGCTGCATATTCATTGTGTAACTTGTCATGAATCTGTTCTTCTGTCTGGGTGCAGTCACGGAAAAAAAAGAAAAGATCTCTAAAATGAAAACTATGTTTTTCTTACTCTTTTTAGAACAAAGATTAACATTAACAAAAGACAGAAAATTTCCACAGATATGAACACATTATGACTGTGAATGTTTATTTGAGTTGTTACTTGTCTGCTTTTCCTTCACTATTTTAAAAACATATTTAAAAATGATATATGTAGTTTACATATGTATATACGTATGTGTGTGTGTGTGTGTGTGTGTGTGTGTGTGTGCGCGTACAGTATCTCAAAACTTGCAGTAGTGTAAATGACCGTTCAAAATGAGTTTAAGCCTGTCTTCCTACTCGTTTTCAAACTCAAGTCATGTGAAAGGGCCTTTCAGTGATTTATTCTGTACATCCGAGTATGTCTGGTTCACTTACCTTCTGGTACCCAATTAGACATTTTTAAGAAAGCTCGCTCTGTGAAAGTTCTCAGGGTCTTCTTTTTTGAGCATCGAAATGATTGTTCATCTGCAAAGCCTGTCAAAACATTCAGACATTGAGGAATAACAAAAGAGAACAAACACAAAGAAATATATATGTAAATAAGCTTAAAATAACTCTTTAAGACTTTGTTCGCTTACATGCAGAATATTGTGACGCGTGGGTTCCTAGTTCAGCTGAAGGAAAAAAAACACACACAAAATTATATTATATATTATTTGTTTACAAAACTTAAATTATGACAAACAAAGTGTGTCTGAATTTCTAATTTAATCAGCTGGTAGTGTGTATCATTACAGTAAAAGCGATTTATACACACACAATGAGCAAATTTACATGCACACTAATACGCTGACGACTACCATCATTTTACTGAAAAAAAAACATGGTTTACATGTTTACATGCAAATCAATAACCCAGCAATGCAAGTAAACCACATTTACAAGACTTTATTAAAGTCCCTCTGCAGTCACTAATTTTATCCATTAAAACTCATCTTTGATAATTAAAGGGGTCATATGATGTTGCTAAAAAGAACATTATTTTGTGTATTTGGTGTAATGAAATGTGTTTATGCGGTTTAAGGTTAAAAAAACACATTCTTTTCTACATACTGTACATTATTGTTTCTCCTCTATGCCCCGCCTTTCTGAAACGCGTCGATTTTTACAAAGCTCATCGGTCTGAAAAAGCGAGGTGTGCTGTGATTGGCCAGCTATCCAGTGCATTGTGATTGGCCGAATACCTCAAGCGTGTGACGGAAATGTTACGCCCCTCACCGTACTGTGATGCCCTGTCCGGCCAGAGCGACGAGACAAAAACATGAAAACCCATTACAAACGAGGCATTCGTTGCATCCAGTGGGGACATAATTATGGATTATAATTACTTATACTGTCTTTTTACGCGTTGCGTTGCATCGCATCGCGCCGTGTAAACATAAAACCATGTCTGCATTTGTGATCAGAGAAATTACAAACAACAAGCTCTACTATACACTGCCCAAAAAACTCGCTTTAAATATATAAAATATAAAAACTCTTTAAATAATTTGAATGTTTATTTTTCCTGTGAAAAATAAATTCTAAAATTTCTATGACTGTACCAATTGTCCTATGGCAGCACGATATGAGAACATATTTTTATCATTTCTTGGGTCAAAAAAAAAAAAGAGTTGGAAGTGTGAGATATATTTCCTTCTCTCCTACTGCAAAACACTCACTGTGGCTGAATGTGCTTAAATTTGCCACAAGGACGCTTGCCTGTCACATATCACACGTACACTTCAATAAGCCGATGGAATGCAGGTGGAAACAGGGTGATGAGCAAAAATCTTTTGCTTAAATAACAGATTAGTGTCTGTCTTACCACAATTTGCTTGCATCAGGGCAATTACTAAAGACAAATCTGAAAAACATTTGATTTCATATCTCAATATGATACATTAAATCAGTCAAATGACAGTAAAAGCAATTTATTTACACACACACACACACACACACACACACACACAATGAGAGCACTAACCGCGTGTCGGCACTCTTCTCTGCTTCAGGGGTCCTTTCACAGTCTGTCTGCTGTCTTTATTAACAGCAATGAAGGCTGTATGAACACTGCTCACTCCTGCCTGAACACTGAGCTCCACCATCCTGCTCCTGATACCCTCAACATCTGCAGCACCTGACCTCTCCTCCTGCTCCAGAGAACGGATCAGGGTCCGAGCCGCCAGCCGGTGGATGGACAACCTGCAGAAACATGGAGGAAATTTGTGGAATTATTATTGGCTTAGAAAAGCAAACAGCTGATTCAACTGCAACTGAAAAATAGAATATATTTTATTTAACAAAAAAACTAACATTTGATACAATGTGTTGAGGATAAAAGTAATGCACTACTATATTGTGTTACATACTATAAAAATAACTCATTAAACTATTTTTGGAGAGATGATTCAACAGCTATGAGTAGGAAGGGAGCACTTTTCCATTATATCTCTCAGTAAATAAACGAAATAAATAAAGCATTATTTATTTAACACTAAGTAACTCAGATAGGGAAGCACAGATATTCTGTATAAATAAGACAATAATTACTATTATCTTACAGCTGAAAACCACTTAATGGCTGATATTAAAAAGCTATATTTTTCTGTCTAAAAACAATGCACTAAATTGATAATCAGTTTAGGTATCACAATATGCAGTCAAAAATATGGGTAACTATTCATTTTACACATAAAAAGGTTTAAAGAATTACAACCCCAGTTCCAAAAAAGTTGGGACGTTTGGCAAAATATCATAAAATCAAGAATATGTGATTTGTTCATTCTCTTTAACCTTTATTTAATTGTCAAAAGTACAAAGAACAGATTTCCAATGATTTCACGGACTAACTTAATTGTATTTTGTAAATATGAACAAATTTTGATTTTGATGGCTGCAACTCACTACAAAAAAAGTTGAGACAGAGGCATGTTTACCACAGTCATCTGGGAATTAAGGAATGCTAATTTTTTTAAGTTTTGCAAGCAAAATTTTCCCCCGATCTCACATGATACAAGACTTCTGCTGCTCATCTGTAGTCATCGTTCTCTGATTCTCTTTATCATGATGGGCAGTACATTTTCAATAGGAAACAGATTTGGACTGCAGGCAGGCCAGTAAAGCACATTCACTCTGTGACTACAAAACCACGCTGTTGTAGCACATGCAGAATGAGACCTGGTATTGTCTTGATCTAATAAGATGTCATCTTGATGGCAGTATGTGTCTCTACAATCCTAATATATGCCTCCACCTCACACATATGCAAGTCACCCATGCCGTTTGCACTGATAACCCCCCATACCATGACAGACGTCTGCTTTTGCACTTGTCGCTGATGAAAGCCTGGATGGTCCCTTTTGTCTTTGCCACTGAAAATTTGACGTTTGTTTTCCCCAAAACAAGTTAAAATGTGGACTCATCTGACCACAGCACACATTTCCACTGTCTTTTGGACCATATGAGATGAGTTAGGATCCAGAGAACTCGTTGGCGCCTCTGCCTAGAATTGATGTATAGATTTCTCCTTGTGTAAATAGAGATTCAAGTTGCATTTCTTGAAGCAGCGGCAGACTGTGTGAAGTGACAACGGTTTTCCGTAGTACCCCCAAGCCCATGTAGCTATATTTCACACAGCAGCATGACGTTTTTCATGCAATGCCATCTGAGGGCTCAAAGGTCATGCACATTCATCTGAGGTGTCCTGCCTTGCCTTAGGCATGCTGAGATTTCTCTGGATTCCCTCAAACTTTTCACAATATTATGCATGGTAGGTGGTGAAATACCAAAATGCTTTGCAATTTTGTACTTAGAAATGTGATTTTTGATCTTCTGACAATTCTGTCATGAAATTTGGCACAAAGTAATGAGCCATGATCCAGCTTTCCTATTACCAATTCACCTGCTTATTGTGGACTGATGATCAAATAAATCACTGATATGGTCCTATTATATTATGCTTCCATATTATTATGACATTACGGCATGAATTTAGCCATTTGTGTTACTTGTACTGATTATAATTCTATAGTGAAAATTACTGTTGGCAACAATAGGCTTTTTCTAGTTTGATCATTTAAAAGGTGTTTTAGAGGTGAGTTGGTCTAAAGCAGTGTTGCTGTCAGTGTTTTTACCCTGTTTCCTCAGTTGGTTTGAAGCAGAAGTGGAGCTGGTTTGTTACTGGTTGATCTTTCAGACTGTATTTGACTGTCACTGTTCCCTCAGAGCCTCCTGAACTCTATGAGAGAGTGAAAAGGCAGTTTCTTATAATCTAAACAAATGAGAGACACAAGTCTCTAATTCTCATTAAAGAAACATTCTACATCATCTCACTTCTCCTTTCAGTTGGGCATAAATGAGTGTCCTTTGTCCCTGGAAGAGCACATTGATGGGTGGAGACAGTGTCTCAACAGTAACTCCTTCTGGAAGGGTCCAATCCACAGAGATATTAACCACAGCGGGCTGCAGCGCAAACCTGAGCGACTGCATCACCTGATATAGTTTGAAGAGAAAGAGACACCATTGAGACATTTGACTAGGAAACATTTGTGCCTGTGAAATCCAGTGGAGAGCTTTACTTTGGGCTGCATGCGGTCGGTGTCTGTGATGAACTGAGCGTGACCCGATCCCTCTCTGGCCATTCCTGTGATGAGGGCGGCACTTGCACCCTCACCAATCCCGAATGAGAAACACCTGAAGACACGATAAACTGCTACTGTTAGTGATGAAGATATGAATGATGCACAGATCAAACCCAGCAGACCTTTACCTGTGAGAGTGAGCGTGACTTTTCACCAGGTCCAGCACCTCTTTAGTGTTTCCCACCTCTCCATCAGTGAAGACGAACAGCTGAAGAGAGAAAAACAAAAACAGTCTTAAGCCATGTTTATACTTTTACACAGATTCCAGAATGTCGTTCAGGTGTATGCTGAGGTGTTGTACCTGTCTGGGGTGGTCAGGGTGACAGCGCTGACTGTAGATGTGTTTTAGAGGCTGTAAAATCTCTGTGCCGCCCATGTCTGCTTGCATTTCCTTCACTCTCTTCAGAGCCTGATCCATTGTGTCCTGATTGTACACGACACTCTGACTGCAAAGACACACAGAAACACACCTCATCTCCACTGACACATTTCAAATCTGTATATCTATGAATGAAGATCTACAGTAGTTACGGAAAGAAGGACTCAAAATCAGAGCCAAATCCATAGATATTGAAGTAGCATCCCATGGGCAGACTCTTCAACAGTAACAGCAGAGTGTCCTATAGAGAGACATGGATAGAAAGTGAACATGAGAACAAAACTCCAGAATTTACTACAGCATACAAGATGCAGTATAACTATTGTATTGACTTTCCTAATGCACATTCCTGGTTTTATTGTGCACAAAGAAAATATGTCTTTCATCTTTTATCAAAACATATTAACTTATTATGTCACCCACCAACCACTTGACTCGAGTCTGATATGAAATGTAGATGGATAAAATACAGACCCAGACTACAGTATTCTTCCTCATTAAAGTCCTGTTTTCCTCAGAAATGTCACAAAATAGAAGTAAAATTGGTTGTGAACCAAGTTTCATGATGACTTTAAATGTCTCATCTCAAAACATTTAAATAAATGCTGATCTTAAATCTTACCCTTGCAGATTCAATGCGCATCTGTGCTCCTTTCCCATGATGCATCATGTCTCCCATACTGCCTGATCTGTCAATCACAAAAACAAACTCGCCTCGAGATGCCAGTGATGACATCACTTCCTCCGGGAACTCTGGGTACAAACTTATCATGACCACTGGGTCCCTCATCAGAGAGCCTGAAAAAGAGAGAAAGAGTTGGGGAAAGCTTGGTCACTCAATCCCATAATGCCAGTGAGCTGCAGGTCGTACCTGGCGGGGCAGTGGTCACTCCTGCCTCCACTATAGCAGAGGGCTGATGGGTATCCTGATAGAACACAAACAGCTCAAAGTCCTTATCAAACATGTGACCAGGACTCAGATCCACCTGCACACATAAACACCACATGCATTAAACTGCTCTGCTCACACATCCAGATAAACACATGAAGCACTGGCGTAGCAAGTCGGCCCCAGGCCCATATGCAAAAACATTTGTACGGGCCCCCAAATGTTATAGGTTAATGTGGGCTCCAACACTCCTTATGCTGTCTTTTCTGAGGTAAATAACATTACATTACTATTCACAAGCTGTTTTATTGACGGTATAAATGCTTGGTAATAATATTTAACTTTCATTATTTGTAGCAGCCACCTAATAATCGCAATAAGCATGTTTTGAATTTAATATAACACAAATCGTAGCCTTTAAGTTCTGTCAATTTTATCACGAAATACAAACAATAAATGTGTTTTTCCACTCTTTAATGTGGCGTGAGATAACTTATTTGCCTTAAGATAACTTAAAGCGGCCTATGAATCAATCATCTTTTCCTCTTTTCTATAGCAAGAAATGTTTTAAAAATTCATAACAACTTAATAAAAACTAATGCCTCATGTAATCAATCAATCAGTGTTTCGAAAATCGTCAATAATAGTTATTACAGTCGTAACATAACATTTACCTCAGAAACGCCAAAATATAACTTTGCCAACATTGTTTTATTATTTTCATAAATCAGTCAGTTAACCGCCACAGACTTTTTTTTTTAGTAGGTTATCTTTATGCACGCAATATAACACAACTTTAATCTCATCATTTTGACTTTTTTTCTAAAAATATTATGGCACTAAACGCTGCCATATTTACTCAATTTGGCTACTTAATGCAAACACACTCTTGGCACAGCAGCCCAAAATGCAAAAAGAGGAAAAAACAAAAAATGACTCACATTTGAGTTGTAATTCATTTTCATTTAATTTAATTCTCTGGGGCTTTCTTTCAGCAAATTCATCCACAATGTCCTTGTTGTTTGTGAAGGCTTCGTGTATACTCAATGGAAAGAATTTCTACTTACAATGGTGTTTTGATAAAAGAGAATTAAAATGTAAGAAAGAGAATTAAAACTGTCCAGGTGTCGCTGAAGCTAGATGTGATATAGTCTTTTCAACTAGCTAGATACCAACCTCACACAGGTTTTTTTTTTTTTTTTTAATTATTCACCTTTATTTTATTTGACCGTGGCAATGCAGCACTTGTGCATAGTTTTAGAAAATGCGTGCAGTTCTGCAGTCCTTCGGGAATTTGCCGCTGGCTCTTCTGTAGACGTGTTATGTGAGGTATAATTCATTTTGGTTACATTAAATGGGCAATCTTTGGTCTGATTAATCTATCAGTTGTTCCGAAGCAAAAGTTCTACGGCATATTTATAGTGGCCACTAATTAAGAATACGTTCGCTCGTTTTAATTAAAAGGTCCCACTCGGCAGGCCCCCAATCAGCCCGGGCCCATATGCACGTGCATACCCTGCATACCCAGAAGCTACACCCCTGACATGAAGACACACAGTACCGTAGCCTGAGTGTGATCAGAGTGGAGGAACTCTAGAGGATCCAGAGAGCAGTTGGACTCTAGTTTGGTGATGGGCTTTGGAGAGCTCACATGGACACTGAGAGTCAGCGTGTAGGGAACAGCTCCTGATGAAATCTCTGAGACGATACCAGCACCTGAACCTGACACACACACACACAGAGTGTGTTAGAATCAGCTTCTCTCCTCTAATAAAGTGTGTGTCAGCAGCTGCTGCAGTACCTGCTGGTGTGTATCGGGGGTTGAGTACAGTCGGCAGACAGAAGCGCAGCGAGTGATCGGCCTGCACAGCGAGCTCGGTGACGTAGATGATGGTGACAGCAGCGTTCTGACCCGCCGACAGACACCCGACACTCAGTCTGAACACATCAGGACTCTCTGCGCTCTCTTCCAACAGAAACGCCTGCTGACCCGAACTCACAGCATCATCATACTGATCCCTCGCCTGCAAGATACGGTTTAGTTAAATGGTGATGTGTAGCACGCATATACAAATCAATGTATATTTGGACTCACGGTTTCTCTGTCCTGCACCTCTGCCACAATCTCCTGCTCTCCGATCTTGGCACTGAAGTGGCAGACAGCAGCATCAGCAGGCAGAGGGAAGACGAACAAGGCCTCCAGGGGGCGCTCTTCCTCATTCACATACTGCAGAGTGGAGGAGACTGTGGCTACATGATCCTGAACCAGAACCTGCACTGAGATGCTCTTCAGAGGCACTGAGTCACACAAACACAACATCACAAATACAGCAGGGCAGCATGACATATACTCCTCACATACAGCTCTCCGAGAGATAAATCGTGGCTTTAATAAAATAAATAACTGAATAGGAGAGCAGGGTGTGTGACAAAATGTTTTTTTTTTTAATTCTTATCCTCTGAGAAAAAAATTAATTCTGTTAAATACTGAGATTTAAAACCCTCGCGACCAATTTCCCTTTTTAAAAATAAAATAAAAAATAATAAACAATTGCTCCAGTAAATCTTTGTTGTTTACTGCAATAAAAAAAAATATTTAATACAATTTTTTTTAAAAAAACAATAGCTCCAGTAAATCTTTGTTGTTTACTGCAATAAAAAAAAAAAATTTAATAAAAAATAAAAAATAAAAAAAACAATAGCTCCAGTAAATCTTTGTTGTTTACTGCAATAATAAAAAAAAATTTAATAAAATTTTTTTTACAAAAAAACAATAGCTCCAGTAAATCTTTGTTGTTTACTGCAATAAAAAAAAAAT